TTTTCTTTCAGTCCTGTAGTTAGTCTAGTTTCTCACACACTTGGTCCTTTTTTTTCTTTCTAATGTGGAATAAGATGCTATTTAATTTTGTTCTTCCATAGCTAATATTTTTATAGCTAATATTTTTTATGTATATGCTTTAATGATTTTTTTCTTTATAATAAGTTTTGGACAATTTCAAAAAAATGAAAAGAACAGTTAGTGCTTAATATTTCGGACCAATTTTACATCCTTATAGCTGATAATCTGAACAACTACTTTGAAGACAACAATATGAAAAATAATAATTGGTGAATTTGTATCATCTTGTTTTTTAAAATTCTGCATTGTTTATAATTTTTTATTATATTTACTCTCAAATACAAAAAAGAGAATAATTTCTGGAATTTTTCCATAGTAATTCTGTATAAAATGTTAGATTAATTTTGAAATTCCTTAATTTGAAATACAGTATGAACGTTAATATTTACTTCTGAATTTTTGGGGGCTGGGGAAATAGCTCAGTGAAATAAGTATTTCCATGGCAAGTGCAAGGGCCTTAGTTCAGTCCCCAGTTCCACCAAAAAAAAAAAAAAGAATTCTTAAATTAGCAATAGTTACTAAAAAAGATAATTTGAGTTTTATTATCCAGTCTTTTATCCAGCAAGCATGCAAAGTTCTCTCATTATTTCTAATCATTAGTCCATTTAATTTCTTAGATTTGTTTGTTTTGTGATACTAGGGATTGAGCCCAGGGCCTTAGACGTGCTAAACAAGTACTCTATCCTGAGCTATATTCCTAGCCTCTTTTGAAACAAGTTCTCACTAAGGCATCCAGGTTGGGCTGGCAACAGCTACCCTCCTGTCTCACTCTCCTGAGTAGCTGGGATTACAGCTATGTGTCACCACACCGGGCTAATTTCCTAGGTTTTCTATGCTGGTGATTATGAAATCTGCAAATGTAAGAGTTTCTTTGTTTTCCTTTTGATCATATACCACTTTTTCCTTCTTTAATCACATTGGCGCGGTTGAACAGTATTATGTTAAATAGTAAGAATAGTAATGCAAAAATCCTGTATTCTTACTAAAGAAAATAGTTCAAAAGTTCTTCATTAAGTATATTTCCCTTAAACTTCTGGTAAAGAGGCTTTATCAAGTTCCAGAAGTTCTAAAACCTTTGGGAAATGCTTTTCCTACATCAGATGAGTTAATGAAATGATATTTCTCTTTCAGTAAATTAATTGGATGAATTGCATATAATTTTCTAAATAAACCCTTCTTACATTTCTAAACTGCCATAATGTACTGCATTATAGGATTACATTCAGTTGCTATATTAATTTTTGGGGGCTGCCATTTAAAAAATAATACAGTTTGTAGATCCTTTGTCAGTGTCAGCCATGTGGATAAGTCATGGCCATTGCTTGACCAATTTGCTCTCTGTGAAAGCCTGAGAGAAAGTTTTCTCTCCATGTGACTCTCCTTAGGCACACTCTACATCATTGATCACTTTCCTCTGTGGCCCCATAATCTCCTTGATCAGTAAACTTGGGACACAATTGAGTTACAGGATGTTACAGTACAGGTGCTCCTATATCCTGAGTCCTCACTGACCTTGAAGGAATTTGACTGATCTTGTCAGATATAAAAGTTACATTTCTTTTATATAGGTCTTGCTTTATCTTGGTCTTAACCATCCAGCAGAAAAGTATAAAAATGAGATATAAAAAGTAAAGCCATATTAATCTGCTGACCTGTAAAAAGCTCAAGTCAACAACTTCTGACACTGCCAATCCTATGGATAATCCACTACTATTATGGACTACTGAACTATATGGGATTATTTTGCTGAATTCATGCACCTACAATATTTAAAGGGCAAGGGAATACCCACTCTGACAAAACTAAACAAAAAAGGGGATACAAATGAAGGGCCATTTTGTATATGACATGCACTTTTCTTTCTTTCTTTTTTATTTTATTTTATTTTTTGTATTTTAGGGAAGGGTCTACAGGGTATTCAGGGTCTCACTACTAGATCAGACTCATATCGATCCACCTGTTCACAGCCTTACAAGAGCTGGTGTTACAGTTGCACACCACCATGCCCAGTCTCAGTGGCTGTCTCAGCACACCCTAGGGGTGGGGCTGGCACGGCAGGCCTGGAGCCATTTTGTATCTGTATATACAAAACAGTTAGGATAGATATACAGCTACTTTCTCTTAATTCAGTGAGAAGATTTATACTAATAGTGTTTAAGCAGGATAGTGTGTCTGCATCTTGTACTATGAATAACCACTACAAAAACAACAATATGCAATGTATTAATTATTGTGACTGTCCTACTAATAGGTTTTGAAACTGTCTCATTGCCATTTGTTTCTCAATAAGATTAATTTTAAAATACAATAAAAATAATACAGACTGAGTAATTTAAACTGTGTATTAATTTTCTTTTCTTTTTTTAATGTATATTAATTTTCTCCTGGTTCTGGGAAGCAGAAATCCACTATCAAGGTGCCAGCAGGGCAGGCTCCTTCGGAGGCCTCGCTCATTGGCTTGCAAATGGCCTCCTTTGCACTGTGTCCTGGCATGGTCTTTTCTCTGTGTGTGCTCATTCCTGGTGTCTCTTTTAAGTTATCTAAATCTCTTCTTGTAAAAACATCAGTTCAATACCAGGTTGAACTAAGATCCACCTATATGACCCCATTTAATACTTAATTACCTCTTTAAAAATCATTATTTTTCAAATACAATCATATTATGAGATACTGCTAGCTAGATTTCCACATACAAGTTGGGGGAAGACACAATTCAGCATGTAGGAATACCTAATATTTTGAATTTTCATATTTGTGTTCATAAGAAAATTTGGCCTGTAATTTTATTTAATAAATGATAAGATTTGGAAAGATTTCTCTATTGCCTGAAACTACTTATATGAATTACTGATTATATGCTCCTTGAATACTGGTACAATTTTCTAGTAACTCCTTTATGATTATAGAGTTTTTAAATTTGTGAGGTAGAGAATCCCTTATTAGCATTTTCATTTCTTTAATATTTATTAATCTACTCACATTTTCTATTTTTTATTGTCCTAACTGGGACATTTCTCAATTTTTATGCTGGTGTTAATTTATATTTCATAGTGTCTATTAGTGTTATAACTTTCACATTTATATCTTTCATTCTAGTGGAATTTAATTTAAATTAGGATATAAGGTAAGGTTCTCATTTTGCTTTTCCTTATTTCACTGGCCTGTTTTCTCATGATCATCTAAGTAACCATTCATTTCTTTCCCAGTGGTTAGTAAACTCCCTTTATCATATACAAGATTTCTACCTATACATGGAAGGGATATTTTCATCTTTACTTTGCTGTCCTTTTTCCAATTAAAATGTTGGCAAAACCTTTTTCTTACCACATACATTTCATATTCACAACAGTTTTGCAGGTATTGTCTCTATTTCTTAAATAGGCAGACTCAAAAAGATTATATTTAAACTATAACATAATATAGTGCTGAATGCACTTCTGACTTTAAATTAAGGGCTCTTTTCCCAGTTAGCTTCTTGTACCTAAGTTTGCCGGCTCACGGCACAGCTGAACTCCTACTGTGTTCCACATACAGAGGTTCCAGCACAATAGCAGAACACAAGCCAGGTTGAAGTCCCAGTTCTCATAGTGCTTCTGTTAATTTTGGAGCTAGATGTTCCCCAAATCCGCATATACCCGAGATGAGCCTTGTGAAAGGTGACTGGATTGAAAGGCAGTTATAGCTGTTAGCCGGCAGGTCTGGCAGGAGAGGTTTTTTAGGGCATGGTCTGCAAGGTTTGTCTTCTCCTCCTCCAGCTTCTCTCTCGGCGTGCCGGCTACCATGAGGTAGGCGGCTTCCCCTACCCCATCCCCACCATATCCTTCTGCCATCCCTCCCTGCCTTCGAGCTGACCACCTATGGACTAAAGACATAACTATTTTCTTCAAATCCAGGAGCTTTGGCATCCATAAGTCTTTCAAATTGAAAGAACAGAGTTGTTGGACTATTAAGAATTTTGTAGGGTTTTTTCTTTTTATTACTTCATTATTAAAATTTTAAAATCTTGAAATTGGTTAATCTCAAAGTAAAAAGTAACCATATGGTTGTCTTTATACATTATACACACTTAAGAAATAAATAGCGCTTTAAGTAGCATTTAAGAAGCATCATATATACAAATAAGGCTTCAAGTCAAATGTATAAATACACAACCTGCTGAAGAGTCAGTTCCCAAAGTTTCCATTACTAAAAACAGAAGGCTTTATGTACCAGGGTGTATGGCAAGTAATACAAGTTTTGCTTTGGCTAGAAAGCAATCACAGAAGCACATAGACTAGAAGCATACTTTGAATTAAGACTTGACTGGTTATGTCTTCAGAAGTTTGGTAATAAATAGTGATATAACTTTGGCACAACACAGATTGAAACGATGTCTTTTAAAAACCTAAGAACAGAGAAAATCCCTCTCTCATCTCCACCTAATATCATATATCCTGCTGAATAAATCTCATCCATAAAGAAAACTCAACCCTTTGGCATAGGTTTTCCCCCAGTTGTATAGTAGTGAAAGGATTTAGGATTTTATGGGTGGATTGGTGGAAAAAAGTCCCTTGCTTGTCATATCTGTGCACACTGGCAGGAAACAGCGATGGCTGTCCTCATGAAGTTGGAGAGATGAGTATGCCACGAACTTTGCCTTCAGGAAATCTGAGTCCCCAGCCTGGCTCCACTCTAAGCCTCAGTTTCATAACATAAGGATGATGACAGTGACCCTGATCACCTCACTCTACTTGGGTCATGTACGTGAAAAGTATAAAATGGTGTTTTGGGTATCATGTATGCTAATTCAAATCCAGGTCTAGAATTGGAGGCTTTTCCAAGAAATCCAACACAGGAAAGGCACCAGTATGAAAACAAGATGTTTCAAAGAAAAGAGCTCTGCATTAAATCTTAGAGCTAGCACTGTTGACAGGGCTGGTTATGCATAAGCAGGTTTGCAGAATTCAGGAAGTGTCTCCTAGCTCCTAAACAGAAGCAGTTTTGCTCCAAAGCAATCATATCTAGCAGTCGGCTACCACTGTGACCTCAGTGTATGACATTCTTATAGTGATTTCAAACATGTCACTCTTGGGGGAAATAGCATATGATAAGAAGAAATAGGTAGGAGCCATTTAAAGCCACAGGGTTCCCAACTGCAGTCACCTGCAGTTCCCTCCACCGCGCCTACCCTCTACTCCTCCTGTCTTTCACCACACATACATATACATTCCTCTCAAATGTTGGAAGGGATTCTTAGGTCTCCAACTCTATTCAGTTTCCAAATGGTGAGGTTGAGTACTGTGTCTCCTGCCACATGCTAACTAATTTTAAGTTTGGAATAAATACTTGTTTATTCAAATTATGACTAACAGAAGGAGAAAGCCAATGATGTGTGCTTCAGGAGGTGAGCTGTGGAGCAGGATGGAATGTCTCCAAGATTTAACCAGTACAGATGAAAGCAACCCATGGGAACTCCCACAGTAGGGCCTCAGCACATCCTGAGCTAATGACCCCTCTCTGGGCCAGTGAGGTAACAGGCCTAACATCCTGATATGAGTCAGCTCCTGAGGGAAAAGACCTCTCGCTGAAGTGCAAGTCAGGACAAGCAGCCTTCCACGCAAAGCTGCTTTGGAGCCCGGATGCTCCATCAGACACAGCCTGTGCTCAGCCAACAAACAGGAGACCTGCCAGGTGCACGGGGGAACCCTGGACATTACACTGCTAGCGCACAAGTCCATCTCAGCTCCAGAGGTGTCAATGGAGACAGTTCATCTTGGGCACCGTTGGAACTTCAGCAGTACACAGTTGTCCTGTCCAGTGAAAAGCTGCAAGCACAGGACACACAGGCAGGCCCAGCAAGCAAGTTCTCAGGGATTCCAGGATCAAGCTAGAGGGGTCCTTCTTCAGGCGGGTCCTTCTTCAGGCGGGTCCTCAGCAGTAACTTTCCTCCATGTGTGTGGGTAGTGGGGTTGAGGTACAGATTAATCAAGCTCCCCAGACCCTCGGGCAAGCTCTATGGTGGCCCTGAAAAGTACCAAGAGACAGTGTGGCATTGGTTAGCACACTCACCTGAAAATGGGCACACCTGGGTCCATGTGTTCTATCTCCCCAACTTTCTGACACACTAGAGGACTATTTCACTTACTTTCCCTTTAGAAGAAATGGGCAGGCTCCTGAGAGCTGCTTTCTTCTCCCTACAGCTTCCCTCTAAGAAATGCCAGGTGTCCTTTCTGGCCCCCAACTTGCAAATATCACAGGTTATGCATTCCTGTGTTGAGCACAACACACACATACATCAACAATGCACACGTGCAAGCATGACAAGTGCCAAAGCCCCCTCTTTGCCTGATCTAGAAACATAAGAGAAATGGTAGTGTGGAGGAAGGGGGGAAAGCTGATTCAAGAGACCCAGATTCTAGCATCGCCCACAGAAAGGAGCCACTGAACTGCTTGGAACCTCAGCCTCCTATCTCTGAGCAGACAGCTGCATGCAAGTCCCAAAGAAGGAGGCTCAGGGCACCATTCATGTCTGAGGATGCTCCCACTTCCAGTGTCCATTCAGGACTCAGACTCCTATTGCTCACTGTCCCTCAGGGGCAAAGGGACAGGGGAACTTGTTTTCTAAAGAAAACAATGTGAGACAAGTCATGTAGTTCTGAACTATTAGGAAGTTCTGGAGCAGAAAAGAGGAATAAAATATTTAATCTCAGATCACACAAATAGCAGTCCTTCTTGGATGTGTCTAATGGCCCGAGAACCCGTGAAGTTAGCACTGGAAGCACTGTGAAAGGCAGATAGTTGAATGCAAACACAAAGATTTAAAAGCAAGGTAAAAGAATCATGAACCTACACTAGGCTGAGACCCTAAATTAGACAGACCATCTGCAACCCCCCAAGTCTTGTGATCACTCAGCTTGAGGTTGCACTGATGCTCCTACAAAGGAATAACTGAAGATGCAACCCAGCCCTCAGGGGTGGCAGACAGCTAATCATAGGGGACCGCAGGCATGAACGCAGCTGCTTGATAATTGGTACTCAGACAGAGGTGAGGCAATTCATTTGAGGATGTGGACCCTCTGCACTCAAGAACACAGGCTTCAGAGTAGAATGAGCTGCTTCACTCTGCCATACCCAGCTGGGGCCTTGGGAGAGTGACTCCATGTTCCTGAGTATCAGCTTCCTCATCTCTCCACAGGGATAACAGTACTGCCTCCCAGGGTTGATGATGAACTTGAATGACCGTCTAAGTCACTGAGGTGACTTACACAAGGTGGTCACACACTAAGCGCTCAGTGTATGGCAGCAGAATCACTATGCAGTACTCTAGGTAAGGGAAAGGGGAGGGGCATGGGCAGAAATGGGTGGGCAATGGTCTACCTCTTCCTTGGCTGGTGTTTAGGCTCAGAGAGCATGTTCCTTTGGAGAAAACCACAGCCTCCCACCATGAGTTGGGCCCACTTTGATCTGAACTCAGAGGATTCCAGGTTGGATGGTAGATACAGAAGCAAAAAAAAACCTTCTTGATTTAGCTCCATATACATGCACACTTGTACTTCTCAAAAAGGGAGAACTAGATCTACTATAGCCACTCAGGCCAACAGAGTTCTAGAAAACCAGAAGAGAAGCAATGTATTTGGTTTCTCTTTGTCCTCCCACCCCACTCCCCACTTTAATCTGGTGTCCAGAAAGAAATGAGAAAGGCTGGACCTTACAGTAGGACTAGTCACTGCAGAGAAGATACTATGGACACCAAGCCCAGGATTTAGCGACCCAAAAGACTGCTGTCTGCAGTGGGCATCTACAGGGTGAAGCAGAACAAGAGCAGAGGTAACAGTCTCACTCTTCAGCACCTTATATTTTCAGTTATATGCCTATATCTTTCTAATGGAAGGGCAGCTTTGCACAGGAAAGTTCTGTATCTGTTTTGCTCATGCTGTGTCCCTACTACCCCTGTCCATAGGCAGCGCATGCAAAGCGATCCATCGCGACCTGTGAAGGGAACACAGAGGAAGTCCTCGTTACCTGGTTTCATTTTTCATTCTCCAGCCCTCTCGACACTTGTGAAACCAGAGCTCTTGGCCAGGAGAAATGCTGTTGTTCTCAGGGTCTTCTGCACAAAAAGTCAACCTAAGAGGAAAAAGACACCACTAAGGTCACTTGAACTTGACAGACATCTAGGCGGTGCTGTCAGTTCTAACCCTAGAGCCTTCAGAATTGCCTGTCACAACCACAATACTCCAAACTACATCTTGGATGGAGGCTTCTGTGATTTGGCCTCCTGCAGGCTTCATCACACCTTTCCCACCTTCTTCCATCTACCTAAAGGTGGCCTGCTCCTCAGGGTCATTGCCTCTTGGAAGCCACCTGCACTGCGTAAACACCCATGAACCAAACGCTCACTGAACAAAAAAGTATTTCCTTCTATAAATGTTGTTTTTCAACCTACTTCATATGGCATGAAACCATTACGTTACAATGGCTTTACCATGGTTCTGCTTAATATTTAAGTTTCTGCTACTTTATTTTTTTTGTAGCTATAAATAGTAATGTGCATATATCCTAAAAAGTAGAATTTCTGGGTTATGGTATATGCATTCTGACCAGGTGTTATTCAATCCCTCTCCAAAGTGGTTGGACTAGTTTTTTATTTTGACTGTAGGGTAATAGTTCTCTTCTCCCTCCTCCTCACCACCAGGTAGAACATTTCTGCCACTCTTTTTGGTGTGAGTGGGTTTCCTACAGCTGTGATTTGTGTTCACTGCATTTCTTTTTGGAGTGAGGTAGGTCACCTTTTAAGTATGTAGGTCCTAGGGTCATTAGGGCTTCCCGGGAAAGGTTCCTAAACTACTCTGAATGTGGCTTTTGTCCTGTCTCAGTATCAGTGTCAAGTACCTCACCTTAATGACCACACAGTCACACTGATCATATACCACAGAGACTGCACGGGGCAGTCATAGTGTTCATGAAATGGTGTTTCCCTAATTTTTTCCTGTGATCCTGCCTGTCCATTTTCTGAGTCTTTGTAACTTGCAGCTGAGTTCCAGTTGTTCTTATTGATGGACATTTATAGAGCACTGCAAGTAAGGAAACTTGAATTCTTTCAGTCAAGGGGCTTAGTCAGCTGAGTATGCCACATGCCTATAGTCCCACTATGGGAGGCTGAGGCAGGAGAATCACAAGTTCTAACCTAACCTGGACCACATAGGCACTCAGTGAGATCCTATCTCAAAATCTTACAAAGGGCTGGGAATATAGCCCAGTGTGAAGGCTCTGAGCTCAATCCCCAACGTGGAAAAAAAGGATGCATATAAGACAAGTGAAGAATTGTAATAGAAAAATGCCAGGAAAGAAACAAAAAGGCTGGAAGTTGCTTCCCTCCATGCCAAGGCTGGCAAAGACCACTCCTGAGGTCGGGGAAAGGACGTGGTTACGAAAACCCTCTTCTCTTCACAAAAGTCTCCCGGGCTCCCCTGGCTTTGAGCCCTTCCCGGCTTCAATTTAGACAGAAGACTGCTCAGAGAGTCAGGGCAAAGCGTCGGGGGCTAAGACACAAAGGTCTGGATCTTTCATGCTGGGCTTGGGGTTCAAAGAAACAGGGAAGCTGCCAGCTGGCATGCCACCCAGGACTCCTTGTTACTTGAAGGTAGAATCCCAGCCCAGATCCCTGATTCCAAGGCTCTGAAGGAGAGACACAATACTGCTCTGAAAATAAGCTGCTGGTGAAAACCAGAGCCCCTCGCAGATTTCATCTGCAGGGAAAGAGGCCCCAGTTTGCCCCACAGTAAATAGATCAAGAAAACAACCCACCTACGGAGCCTTGTCCAGAAGCTTTGCTCCTCTGGGCCAACACAGGCCTTGGCAAACAGAGCAAGGGCCAGATTCCAGGCCCCTCCCTTACTCACCCTACCAGTCAAGGCCTGAGTTAAGATGCTCAGCAGTCAACAGAAGCCTTAATCAGAGTCACGATTCCCTGCAAGGGTGTTTGAGGTTTTGGCTGCATGCTGTGCATAGAACAGGAGGGTGAGGCTGTGCACTGAGCAAAGGAACAAAGGTGGCAGAGACAGGGCCTTCTACTCCCCACTGACACAAGCAAGACAGGAGACAGCAATCCTTACTTCTGCTGCGTCTCCCCAGACTTGACGCGAATGCGCCGGATGTGTAGTTCCCAAGCAGAGCCACTGGGCTCAGACAGGTAGCTGTAAAACTTCTTCCACAGGTTGTACCAGGACTGTGACGTCTTCTCCCATGTGAGCTTGATCTTCAGGAGGTCACCCAAGTCCTCCTCAGTGTAGACCAAGAAGGTGTTCGTGGCATTCAGCCCAATCTGCTCCACTCTACAGATGAGAGAGGTGAGACAGAAGCTCTTCTCACTTCCCTGTCACCTGAACAGCTGCACATTGTCCAGGGTGACACAGTGGCAGCTCCTTCTCGACAGGAAGGGAAAAGAAACAGATGGGTGGTTCTTGCCCACCTCAATCCCTGTGCCCCACCCCAGGAACAACACAGAAACTTAGCTGTGCTCTACGTGACAAGAGATCATTCTGCCTGCAGCACCCAGCTTCTTACCAAACCCATTCCTGAGCACTTCTCCATTAATGCTTGTACTTCCCACCCAGAGAGATAGGACCAAGAACAAGCAGAAAGGAGAAAGCACAAAGAAGCCACATCCACACACAGTGGTATGCTATTCCCCTCAGCCCACAGGTTCTGGCCTCCTTCCCAAAGCCCAGTCCCTTCCTGTCCTCTCATCTGGCAACTGGTGTGGCCTACCTTATCGTATTTGTGAATAAATTCAAGTCAAGTCTTCCCACTGGAGCCTGAAGGGAGTTACTTTGCTGATGTTTTTTCAAAATCCTAGTATTACTTGGCAATGTGCTTTGTTCCTGGTGAGTACTCCACAAGTACTGCACACAGACTCCCACAGCCAATCATTATGGAAGGGCCCGATTCCCTAATGCCTCGGGTGTCAGGCGTTGCCCGAAATGAAACAGCAGGTTCTGCCCAGCTGATGAGCAGTTTCTCACAGTGCTGATTCATCCTAGCAGCAGCCCAGAAAAGTCCTGAGTTAAGGGCTTCCTGGAGAGCGCCCAGTGGGAGAGAACTCTGGTGGCCAGCTGGAACTACCCAACCCTTCTTCCCCTAGCCACCCAACTTCACTCTCCTGTGCTTGTCCCCAAACTCCCTTGCATTCTCTCATTCTCAGACCAGCATGTTCTCTGTCCTAAACCAAAGTTGCAAAGGCAGCTCAAGACTTACATTTCCAAAGGCAGCATCTGGGAGTCTGCATTAGTACCGCAAAGGGTGATGTAAAAGGTTGGCTCCACTTGCCCCCTGTTCTTGTAACTGAAGATGTGGATTTTCATCTGATAGTGATACACTGAACAGACAGCAGAACAAAAAGGTTTTGTGAGCCCTGAGCTGACTCATATCAGGGTATCCCAAGCCACCCAGCTTGCTGAGTTGTAGGACTGACATCCTTTGGGTACAGCCCACCTCTAGGCTCCTTCTGGTCTTGTTTTGTCCAATGGCCTAAGAGTCCACTGTAATATAAGAGGAATAGGGCTAGGAGATGTCTTCGGGACTTGGACTTACCTATTTTCTACTTGTATGACCCAGGATTAAAGACAAAGGTATTAACCTCTCTGAATCTCAATTTCCTCGTATATAAAATAATATTCAAGGACCAGGGAAATAGCTCAGTGGAATAAGTGCTTGCCTGGCAAGCACAAAGTCCTGAGTTCAATCCCTGGTACCACCAAAAATAAATAAATAAATAAATAAATAAATAAATAAAATAATATTCACAAAGTATTACAGTTTTATAACATGTTACAAAAAAGAAAGCTATCATTTTGGTCTTCTGTTCATCCTCCTTCAGATTTGTTAGAGCCAAATAAGAAAACAAACACAAAATATCTTTGCAAAAGTATCAGAAAAATTTTAAGATACTGACATTGTGATCCTAAGGACATCACAGGAATCTTTATAATTGATTGATTATTATGGAACCAGGGGCTGAACTCAAGGCCTTCACGCTGAACTATATCTGCAGACCATTTTGTTTTGGGAGAGGATCTCACTAAGTCACTAAGTTGCTCAGACTGAGCTCAAACTTGGAATCCTTCTGCCATAGCCTCCCAGAGCACAGGAATGCAGGCCTGTATCACCATGCCTGGCTCCATTAATTAATTTTTAAAAAACAATTTTCCTAGGTCATACACAATGTAATCTAATTTGTAATAATCTGACATAACTGTGCTGACCATGGCTTGTGGACTTGGATATGACCCATTTTTCAGCAAGATTATCAAGAAGGAAGAGAAAGACGAAGGGCCATTTTGAAGCCTGAAAGTTACCTCTGAAAGGCATGTCTGCCCGGGTTTTTAAGTACATTTTGCTATTCCTCTTGTTTCTCATTTTCTTAGTGTTGTAGCCAATGCTATTACAACGATTCTTCCTGCAGCTAAGACAGATCCCCTTTTTGAAGCGCTTGGAGTCTGTGCACTGGAAGGCAAAGCTTGGCTTGTCCTGATTCACCAGGGAATCGATAAAGAGGTCGATGGCCCGCTCATGCTCACATTTCAGTGCCTCTGTGATTTCTGGGGAAGGCAGGGACAGACGTGCAGGATGAGTCTCTATTTGATGATTATACCACTCAGTCAATATTACACACCTCATCAGCATGTTTATTAAGTAAGGCTGTGCCTTATTTATGTAATTATTAATAAAATGTGCAATGATATTTTAGGACTCTATTAAGATATAAAATTTCAGGGGCTGGTGAGATGGCTCAGTGGTCTAAAGCACCTACTTGGAACAAGCTTGGCAAAGCACAGGGACCACGGTTCGATCCCCCAGCACCACATGCCAGCCAGCCTCGCCCCCTGGTGGGCTGAGCTGGCCACACACACACACACACACACACACACACACACAATAAATAAATAAATGTAAAAAAAAAAAAGATATAAAATTTCAGACCATCTTGGTCTGCTTTTCAGTTTCTTGGTGAGAAAATGGCACTAATACGTGGAAGTAAAGTGCAAGATAATTCATATAAGAGAATTGAATAGGGCTTAAGGATTTAGCTCATTGGTACAGTTACTGCCTGGTGAGCAAAAGGTCCTGAGTCTGACTCCCAGTACCAAAAAAAAAAAGAACTAGAGAGATACAGATCTTTTGTGCAATAGGACTCACTGAACACCTTCAAAGAAGTATGGCTACAAAATTCAGGAAATGCATCATAATACTAAGTGACATTTTAAAAATAAATAAATAACATTTAGTCCAGAGCTCAGCAAAATAGGCGAGCAGCCTAGCTACTTATTTTTTCAAATTAAATTTTATTGGCACATAACCATATTTATTGGTTTATGTATTTTCTGTAGTTGCTTTCATGTTGCCCCAAAAGAGTAGAGTTGTTGAAACAAAGACTATGTGGCCTACAAAGCCTACAGTATTTATTAACTGACTCTTTAAGAAAATACCAACACCATTCTAGCCTAAACTCTTCAATTATAGACTATAACCCAAAGACACGTAGAGGTAATATAATTTGACCAGGGTCATACAGACAGCTGGTTGGAAAATGTGTAATTTGGATTTTTCTGGCCCATAGTACATTACTGTTCTTATAACCAGAGGCTAAAGCTTAAGTTTCTTAGTTTAAGAAGCTTCTAGAAAATTCAGGAAAAAAATGTCAAAGTCACCTCTACCCCTTCTTTATAAGCACCACCAGCCTTAAAAATACCATCCAAAAAAATCAAAACATAAAAATAAAATAAAATAATTTTAAAATAAGTCTGGAATCTTTGTATATTCATCACATTGGGAGAGGGGAATAGTGTTAATATCAAATGACAGGTGAGACACACAAAAGGGTGGAGCATCATAAAAGAGAGAGCTGGGTGGGCCCAAGACTTGGGAAATGCTACCAGCATACAAAACTTTGAAAGAATGGAAAAACCACAAAGGGATCAGTCACTGGGTCACACAGCAGTTTCCAAAGCAAATTGACTTCAGCCTAAGCCCATTAAAGATAGGCTCATACATTCAGAAGATGAAATTATAAATACATAAGTAAATCATCTTAGTTTTACATCTTTAAAGTATTACAAAACATTAAAAAAGTGTTATATCCATGACACAGAATATTATACAGGCTACGAGAAGAATAAGGTTGGCAAATCTGCCTGCTCTGATGATTAAGAATGTCCTTAGGGCCAGTCAAATAGCTTAGTGGATTAAAGAGCCTGCAAGCAGGTGCAGGGGTTGGAGGTTCAATCCCTGGGCCTGCCATGACAGCCCTGCCCCCGGGGCCCCTGTGGCAAGAGGTGAGGATGATGAAATGAATGGTGTTCGAGCACTGTCAGCGCTAGCTGACTTAGAAGGACATGAAGTAACTGATTCCAACACAAAGCAGAAAACAAAGAACTCACTTCCATATGCAAGTGTTCCCAAGACATCACTAAATTCACAGCCCGGTTGGAAGTCACCACCATTGGGGTAGATGTCGATGTGGCCCACAGGCATCTGAATCCCAATGCTTAAGCCAAAGGAGCGTGTGTAGGTGTGTAAAACGTCCACAAAGTCTGCATCATCAGGGGACAGCCTCTTGTCAATGTCCACCCCTTCAAACATGGGCCCAGCAGGATCCAGACCTACAGCAGGAGAGACCAAATTGGACTATGTCATGTATAGCAAGACAGTGAGGGTGAGTTACAGATGAACTCAAGCTTACAGAAGAAAGATCCCCTCTAAGGTCAGCACCATAAGTCAGAGAAGGCAAAGAATAACATAAGAAGCCTATTTCCAGATGCTCTTGACCCAAGAAACAAACGTGGGGATTGAATCCTACTGTTGTACAACTGCCAATTCCTTCAGAGGCCTCCATATGTTCTGAAGCCTCAACCAACCCAGAAAGGTAGCCACAAGTCTACACTGCCACCAGCTCTGAGGAACCACAGGTGGTCAGAACTGGAAATTTCTAGAACTCAAGTTTCAAAGCTCAGAAACTTGAGCTCCCCGAACCTAAGCCATCCTTCCCTGTGATCTGCACTGGGATCCACCCATAGTTCTAACTTTAACAGAATCATCACAGAATAACTAAGTACCTACATCCTTGTAGAAGAACTCAATCTCCCCAAACTGAGCTGTCTGTATAGGTGCTTGTTTTTCCCCTTTAGTTATGAATCAGGTCCAGAGATGGAAAGGTGGATAGACAATCTAATAACCCACCAATGCAATGAAAATCCAAATACATAAATCCAGAATATAAAATTCAGATTTCCAACTCTGAACTCCTAGAGACTCCCATAGGTAGGTCTGTCATGGAACTCAGAAATGTACATTGATTTCCCAAGTGATCCTAAAAGTTGGTAGTCTATGGACCAGATATTGAAAAAGTTCCCTGTGCCTACTATCATCTATGAAATGGGACTCTAAACAACTTAATTCATCCTGATCATGTGAGATATTAAGAGATTGAGTACTTGTTCAAATTAGGTCCTATTACCATGTCCAAGTAATTATGAGAAATGCATTCATCCCAACCAGGAAGGCTATTTGCCACATAGACACACAGGCCCTGGAGAAAGTTCACTCAGATCTGTGGCAAAAGAAGGGCATTCTTTTTTTTTTTTTTTTTTCGGAACTGGGGTTTGAACTCAGGCCCCTGGGCTTGCCAGGGAAGCACTTGTTCCACTGAGCCATCTCCCCGGTCCAGGAAGGGCATTCTGTTTAGTCTAGTGTTGTGGTTTGTCATTAGAAATTATTTTGCCCCTTTCTCCAGGGGACATTTGCTGATGTCTAGAGACATTTTTTTTTTTTGTCACAATTGTAAGGAGGAGAGCTACTAGCTTTTTCTGGGAACAGGTCAGGGGTACAGTGAAACATTTTACACTGCACGACAAGAGTGTCACACCCACAGGCATGCACAACAAATCACTGCCTATGTAAAAAGCACCTTGGCTGGAGTGATGTGACCAAGAACAAGTCCTGAAAGAGGAGATAGACATAGTGGAGATGGGCTGACCCAGCATAAAGAACTAGGGAACACATTGTGATGCTTGAGTGGAAAATCCTAGGATAGATGAAAGATATAGCTACTATCTCAAGCAAATAGTCCACTATTTGACTATTTCTCATGAGAAGTGGGCAAGGCTGAAGTGAGTTCCCCAAAGAGGTTTAGATGATTTTATGTGTGAGCAAGATGAATGGGAGACCAGACTGCTTAGGGGCTCATCCTTAGCCCAGGACCTCAAAGAATGATAGCACAAAAACAGTAACCTTCCAGGATAGCCCACAATGACTCATTCTAGAGGCTGCAAGGACCACAGTACAGACACAGCACCTCTCCCTACCTCTGGCTGTCTGCACTGGTGGGGGGAATAAATAGTGAAATGTTCTGCTTTGGAACATTCTGCTTTGCCATCAATACAAGAGAGAGGCTCTGTGCTCTGTGTGAACAAAGGTCCACACCAGACATGTAGTGCCATGGAAACCAAGCTGCACTGGTGGAATGCAGGCAGCTGACAGGGCCTCACAGGCCAGCCGAGGGGCAGGCAGAACCTTCACCTATCCAGACTGAGCTGGCCTTTCTCTGACACACTGCCATGGTCCACAGACTCAGGGCAATACCATCTACTTTTTAAATTAGGAATAGAAGGACTAACTCACACTCTCCAAAAAGGGGGAGGATAGAGAACTCCACTTCTTCCATTCAGTCCTTACCTCCACCTCCAGAGAGAGGCTGCACGGATCAGAGTTGGGCACCAACTCTGGAATCTTACAGCCTGGACTTTAGTCCCAGATGTGCCACTGATAGGATGCAAGATATTGGGCCTGTCATTTAATCCCTGAGACTTATTTTTCCCACCTGTACAAGGTGCAGGCTTCTTCTGTGGCTCAAGGATAGCACACAATACCTTGTCACTAACCTGCCAAGGAAGTACACATGAACTACTTAATATGAGGCAACAGCTAGCCTAGAGCCTACACAGAGTAGATGCTTAATTAGCATTTCCTAAATAAGTCAATCTGCCCGCTTATTTGTTTATAACTACACACAGGTTCAGTTAGAAATATGTATCATCTTACCCAGTATATTTCATATTCCTCTCTGGAGACAGAGAGGGTAAAACTCCAGCAGGCCCCTGACAACACTCTTTGGCTCAAGCAAGACGGCAGTTCAAGTGTGACCTTCAAGCCCTAGGCTGAGGACCCCTGGCGGTCGCTGCACAGCAGCCTCACCAGCCTGAAGATTCCATGCGAACTGCAGTCCCTGTCCTTTCACCAATTGGAACCACATGGCTCACAGGCCCAGACTAAGTCTACCACTGAGGGAAGAGGAGGAGAGATAGCCTCCCCCACTAGCCTGGCACAGCCATTTGGCACAGCAAGAGCTGCAGGGCAACTGGAGAGAAGCAGAGGGAAGGGCTGTGTCCAGGACCTGCAGGCCTGCTTCCTGCAGCATTGATTAGCATTCTTCCAGCTCCCCAGCCAGCCACAAGCGAGGAGCCCTCATCTCAGCAGCTGCCACCTAAACAACCAGAGAGAAGAAGTGGGAAGCTCCTGCCCCAGCCCTGGTTCATTCCAGACTTAGGAGCAAGGCGATGCAAGGACACTGGGCACTGCAATGGAATGCTGCAGTTGGAGCCCGTCTGGCCTGGGTCTTTCCAGGGTTGGGTGGAGGTGCTCACATGCTAGAACCCAGAGTGGCCTCAGGGAGAACTGCTCTGCACCAGTAGTTGGCTAATGAGCAGCCATGGTGGCCTCACAGTTACAGCTCACTTTGGACAACTCACAGCCCACCACGTTGAAAATCAGGAATAAAGCTCTGGAGCTACACCCAGATGTAGTGGCTGGATCTAAAGAAATGTGCAAGCCTAGGCCTGCGTGTGGTCACTGACATATTAGATTTGAGCCTGGAAACAGCAACTGATGAAAAATAATAATTCCTCAAAACTGTATTTTTAAAAAACCTATTGCCAAAACCTGAAATTCCACCTTCATGAAATCATTCTTTATCTTAACATTCCTTTCTCCCTGTGTTCTGTTTTAAAATGAAAATGCTGCAGGTAGATATTGGTCAGCTCTTTCCTCCTAGGTGACCACCTGCCCTGGTCTGAATGTGTCTCCCCAAATTCCATGTGTTGGAAACTTAACCCCCAAATCTAAATGTTAACAGTATCTGGAGGTTGGGCCCTCAGGAAGCAATAGGATAAGATGATGTCATCAGTGTGGGAACCTCCTGATGACACTGCTGCTTTATAAGAAAGTAAGCACTTTAGCACATTTGTTCTGTATTACCATGGGATGCCCTTCCCCATGTTATGATGCCACAGAAGGCACTCCCTCCCCAGACGGCAGGAAGCTAAGCAAGCTCCTGCTCTTTATGAATTGCCTCCCCTACCCCGTGCAATACGGTGATAGCAATAGAAAAGTCTAAAACATATCCTCAGTATGTTGGAACTGGGGGAAAGCTGAAGAAAAATATATATAAGAGAACTCTGGAAGGATAAATATGTTCAGGGCAACAAATTTACCTTTAATTTTCATATAGAGGAAGTTCTATGGATGTAAGGGGGCCCCAAAAATGGAAAAGTGAATCTCATATTTTTCATAATCATTAAATAATTTAATCCAGAATCAAATATTAAAAGTTCACTGAGATGCATTTTTCAAGATGAAAAACTTAATTTTCTAATGACCATCTAGGTACCAACATCAGGAAAGTTTGTTTCATTTCAAAGTTTAACCATTCATCCTAAATAGCCATTTGTTGTTAACAAATATGATATTTTAACATTAAAGAGAAGCTATAGGTAAATGAAACAGAAATCAGAGGGGCAGAATCCATCATTCATTCCTTTCCTTTAAGAGATATAAACATCCAGAAGTTTAGAGTTTAGAGGCCTGCACTACATCCTGGCTTCTGCTTTTTTTTTTTTTTTTTTTTCTTTTGAGGCAGCATCTCACTATATGGTTCAGGCTGGCCTTGAATTCCTTATACAATGATGCTGGCCTTGAGCTGTGATCTTCCTGCCTCAGCCCTTCAGTGCTTGTATAACAGGCATGTGCTACCATGTCTGGCTGACTTCTGCTTTATAGTTCTTAGCTTTCTGCCTACAGGCAAATTGCCTCATCTCAGACTGCTTTCCTACCTGCTGGACTAGACCTGGGGTTTGCAAACTGTGTTGCCTGGTGCTTTGAGAGCCTGAGACTCCTCTAAGGAATGGGAAGGCCCAAATGGCAAGGCTACTACCTATAACCACCCACCCAGCTTCAATCAAAATAACCCCACCTATGTAGCTCATATTTTGAGACCCCATACAAGTTCATTCTGAAAAGGGTTCTGGGACAAGAAAAGAACATTTAGCTGGGTATTTGCCAGTTTCCTTCCAAAGCTAGCCATCTAGGATTTATTCAACCTGCCTCATTGGGGAGCACTCTGGCTCAGAGCAACCAGACCGTAGAGAGACAGAGGGAGCAAGGGTCACAGCTGGGGGGGGCATGGGGTAGGAACAGAGCCTACCTGTGATCCTGCCCACAGTTCCATTCACAAAGTTGCCAGCATATCCCGCCACATGTGCTCCAAGGCTGTAGCCAATCAAATGAACGCTCCCCAGAGAAAAACCATCCTTTTCCTGTAGAAAGTCACCAAAGCATGTGAGTTGAAGAATGGGGTCCTGGGTCTCCAGAACCACCAACAGTTCAATAAATCCATCAAGGGGAAATATTTATAGATCTGAAGAGAAACCAGAGTATAACAAATCCATCAAATTGAGGAGCCCCAGGCACAGAGATTCCCTGGGGCATTTCTGGCCACTGGCTCAAGATCATGGCCCTAAGCCAGGGATGGGAGATCAAAGGGACTTGTGACATTGAAAATGCCTGTGATTACAGGCTGCATGCCTACTCTTTCATGAGTTTATCTACACTATTTCCTTTCTTTGGGGCAATATCTAGAGGGCAGAGGGGCAGTTTAGAAGTCAAAGACACCCTACCCATTAGAGACCAAAGTACTAGCCATAGCCTACAGCCCCTCAATCCCTGCCTGCACTCTTATCTTAGGCTTTGAGTTTCACCCTGGCCCCAAAAGCTGCTCACTTCTTTACCATAAGCCCATCCATGACCTCAGAGTTGGAGGAAGGCCCTCCCTCTTCCCAAAGAATTTAGCTGGTGGGAGTGAGAAACAGTGGCCTTGACCCCATGGCTCCAGAACAAAACTCTTCGAAAATCACAGGCAAAGTAGAGAAGGCCTGCTCAAGAACCCTGCCCAGAATTCTGCCAGAACTCATCAGACTCCATGGGCAAAGGAAGTTGGGCTTGACTAGTCCAAGTCTGAGGGGCATTTCGCCAGTATATCTCTGCCCCTCTGTCCCAGTGAAGTCCACTGGTCTCAGGCAAATCATTAACTTATAAAAAGTAAATTCAAAATCTGTTTTGCACATTTAATATTTTAAAGAAGTCTAACAGGTTTAATGTGTTTGAACCAAACATCTTCCCACCCTTAGTAGAGCCATGCTTCAGAGGCAAATGAAAACTTAAGTTGAAGACTACAAGGCTGTCCTGGCTCTAGGCCACCCCAACCAACCTAAGGACTTCAGCTTCTAACTCAGCAAGTCAGCAAATATGACATAAATTCAGAGATCTATCAATAATCAAAAGGTTCTCTAAAAGCCCTCGCTATCAATTTCAAGTAATAATTCAGAAATAACAATTTTAATTCTAAAGATTTTTGTCAGAGCCAGGAAGTTCATAATAACCCATGTGGTCCTACATGTCCCAAAGACACTGGCATTTAAGAGCCTGCTTGTGAGAGGAGATGACCCCTACCAACCCTAGTTACCTGTAGCCAGTCCAGCATCCTTGCCACACTGTGCCCCACCACCCTAGAGTTATTGACTGCATCTGTATACAGCTGGTGAGCCAGGGGTAGCCAGTCCACCACCACAACATTGGCATCGTTCTCTCTTGTCTTCAGGGCTGATACAAGTATGTACAACCAATTATGAAGCATGCCACCCATCTGCAAAGAAAACAGGACACTTAAAGAAAAATTCTTCTTCTGGACTTTGAAACACTAATGCATAGAGTGAGTCCCTGATTTACAAATGAGTTCCATTCCAGGAGAATGTTTGATACATGTCAGATACATGTGAGTTTTATACAGTACACAGATGGAAGTTTGCTACTCAAATATTAGTAAGTATAGGATTTAATGTGTGGAATTTCATACCATCTCCTTCAACCCATCTGATTTTAAAATCTTTATCTCAGAGGATCAGGAACCAAACATCTGCACAGGAGCAGGGCCACTCCGAGACAGATTGGCTACATGAGTATTTTCTTATATCACTCTTTACAGCCCCAGTTTTTCCCATCAAAATTTTCATAGCTGGTGACTTACACTATTGCCCTGCTACCTATGAGATATGTGTTGGTGGTGGTGCTGGCATGTTAGCTGAGTCCTTGCCACAATCAGGCAAGTAGCTTGGTCCATCCTTCAAAGGCAGTTGGAAGGGTTGCCCTGGAGAATCAGCTCCTCCCTTAGAGATGCAGGGAGATGCTGTTTCCTAGGCAAATACAGAGTTAACAGATGACCCTTTCCCACAACCCACTTCTGCCAATCCTTTTGACTCCAGAGTCAGGAAAATCCATTCCTGGAATCCCAAATCAGAACTCAGAACACATTTTCCCACAGAAACAAAGTTATAAATGGTGACTAAGACTAGTTACATCTACAAGTACATTATCAAATAAATAGATTTTCTGTGCTTTGGCTGGGAACCCAAACGCTATTTACAATCTTCCTTTTATGGGAATCGGCTGTTCCAAGTTACACACACATTACAAAGGAACTTTCTCGAATGCACTCCACTGCAGGCAGTTTGTATTTGCATTTTGACAGAAAGGCCTTAAAAAGATTCAGATGCCTGATTCCAGTTGCAGGCTATGGGATGAGGACTAAGAACAGGACCTTCATCATTGCTTCATCACACTAGGTAGGTAAGCACCTACCCTCCCCATACCAGATGCCAACCCAAAGGCTGGGGATAGACCTAAAGACCCAGAAAGAATGTAACGGATATGAATTTCTCATCATTAAGCAGAAGAATGTCCCCACCCAATTAGCCAGGGCAGAAACCTGCTCAATTAATAGTGCTATTTTCCTACAGACTGTCATTATATGAGTGAATAAATCTGTTTCTGGCCAAGAACTTCTGAAACTGAGTGTTAAAGCCCTTTTTTGTTGAAGTTTGTCATGGGCCTTTCAATGGGAATTGCTCAGCTGGGGCACATAAAGAGTCCCAGTGCCCTCAACGGGGCCATGTCTATGCAAACAGGAGGGCACCATGCCAATAGCAGACAGCCAGGCCAGCTGGTCCCTCACAGATTCTCAGGGCCAGTCAAGTTGCTTCAGCACAGCGCAGCTCTTAAGGCAGGACGGCCCCCTCCAGGCAGTGGTTGACCAATGTAATTAAGTATAATTAGAGAGCCCTTCAGAGCCAGTAGAGCTAGGCTGCTCCCCTCAGGAGAGCCACTTTCTAAAAGCCTGTTGTGTGCCAGCACTAAATACCACCCTGCTGGAGTCCAGATTGCCCCCTCAGAGAAGCGCCCATTACATCCTTCACAGCTGTCTGAAATACAAGCAGCCCACAAGGAAAGGAGGGAGAGGCTGTGGAATGTGGAAGCACCAGCATTCTTTTTAATTGACCAAAATAAAGGGAACCAAATTTGTGTAAAGCCACAGAGCACCCCCCATGCTAACTCCTTACCGTCCATCCATGAATGATGAAAAAGGTTTTGGCTGTCACGTTGAAGCCACAGTCTTCTAATTGCTGGTTGTGGCCAAGGGAGAGGTAGCATCCTTCATGCTCTGGGTCCTTAGAGGTTCGGAGGTTAAAATGCACAGAGCGTTTGGCAGCAGCCTGCACTTCCCTGGATTTGGGAAGCTCATCTGGAGAGGGAAAAAAAAAAAAAAAAAAACCTGGTGCTTCTGATGGCTAGAGCAATGACAGGTCTAGTTCTAGTCCAGTCTTGAGCAAATCTCTGAAGCACCTGAGTTCCAGTTCTTAAACCTGCTGAATGTTCCCTCTTTACCTTATGGGAAAATTACGAAGATATTATAAAGGAGACATTATAGGCAGTAAATATTAGTTAGTCACTATACTAGATAGTCCTACGGCTCTGAACTAGGCACCTGTTACTTTTCTCTATTCACCCTGTTACAGTTTGCCTCTGGCTGTCTTGATGTCCCCTCAAAGGCTCATGCGGTCAGTTTTTTCAGAGGTGACTGAATCTAGAGTGTATGACCGATTCATGGAGCAATGCTGGGATGTGTGGTGCTGGGATTAAGGGTGGGTGAGTCACTGCCTGGATTGGCACTGCCATAGTCCTAGTCAATGATATACGGGACAGAAAGGCTTGCCCCTTGTCTCTCACTTGTTGTTTCTGCTATCTTTTGCCACCATGAATGGTTGTCTCTCTGCCATGTGCCACCCTGCCTTGGAGTCAGCCAATTATGAGCTGAAACCTCTACCAACTGTCATCTACATAAAGTTTTCTGGCTTTAACTTCAGGTGTTGGGTATTTTTTCTCAGCAGTGAAGAAAGTAACCAAGATGTCTCCCTACCAATAAAATTTCTTCTTTCCTTCAGGTTCCTACTTTTAGTGAATAGGTCTTCAATTCTTTTCTCAAAAAAACCTAGGACCAGCTGAGTCTATTAATTCAAAAACTGTCATATTTTAGAAAGGCATATGCTATATATTATACTACAACATATACTGTATATTATATAACACTCCCCATAAGGTCTGGAGTATTCACCACAAGTCAAATACTCTAATACTTCTGCAGAGAAATGTAGGATTACCTATACTCAAGAGCAAAAATGAGAAGATTATGGACAGAATCCTGTCACCTCAGGTCAGATTTTGCTGCCAAATGAGTTCAGATTAGGTAAGGCCAGGTCTTGCTGACCAACAAATTCCCAACCACTTTACCAATTCTGAGAGATTCTAGATTTTGCAATCACAAAAAAGAGGCTGTTGACTCATTTGTTGTATAATGGGCTTTCCCTGGTGCTCCCATCTCACTTCTAGCACTTTCTTCAAGGATTTCACACTTCCTCAGGGCCCTTTGCGGTGCTGACAGGCACCAGGCATTCACCCAGTTTGTTATATGAATGACTGAAGCCGTGAAGAAACTTCTTAGAGAAACAAAGCCTTCCCTTCCATTTCCGCCACTCACACACAGTGCTACTGAGGAGGTGGCCCTGTTCTCAAAGCTCAGCCCGTGCCACTGAGGGTTCCAATGATTGTGTGACACTAGGTGGGCACTGTCATCACTACACTATTTCAGATAGTTACTAATGTTCCCTGGCCAGCACTCTTTCAGTCATCCTGTTAAGTATTACTAGCTAATTGGCTAGCTAGCTAGAGCACCAAGCTCTCCCTCTGTGGGTCACCCAGATCTCCAGTCGGGGAGATACCAAATGATCACAACAAGAACATGAGTTATCTGAGCATTGAGAAACAAAGGAATCATGGAAAAAGTGATCATGATCATGGAGAAGGCAGTGATAAATAGAGGTGGCAGGATCAAAGGACAGGAAGAAAATGGACCAGATGTTAGAAGGGTTAGGTTCCATAAAGTGTTGCTAATTACACTGGAGCAGAACCCAGCTTAACTATTATCAAAGTAATATACAAAAGCCCAAATGGCAGAAATTTGAGCCATGGCTGTAAATATTCTGACAGCTCACCAATTTCTGTCTAGAGAGCAGAGAGAAAAGCTTGGGACAAAAGAGGTCTGCTGGTCTCCTGAGATAGACATGTGAACAAAGCCACACGTGGCCAAACAAGTTCTACCTTGACATCAGGCTTGCTCTGACCCCACAGTTATCTCGCTTCATTCTTGCTACTCTGGGGCTGGGCCACTTTGCCTCAGGACTTCATGACTGTTCTTCACCCAGAGGGCCTTGTGGTTCCTCTCTCACCTCTTTGAGCTCCATGTTCAAGGGATGAGTTCTCAGGAGAGCCTTCCTGACCACACAATAAAAGCTTCCCACTTTCCCCCACCCGACTCCATACTTCCCTCCTCTGCTCTTTTCCTCCACAAGCCTAAGCACCATTTCTGTATTTTCATTAATTCACTGCCATCATTGTGCCATAAGAGCAAGGGCTGTCATCCACTCTGATCTCTGCTGTCTCCTCCACTCCTGCTACTAAGCAGAAATGCATTGAATACTTTTTTTTAATGAATGACATGGCCCAGAAATGTACAGAACACAAAAGTTGAAAGGAACTTCAGGATTTTTCAAGAAAGAAACAAAAGATATGACACATCCTAGGTCATGCTTCTAGTCAGCACTAGAGTTGGAAACACATTTAGTAAAGCAAAGCTTTCTCATTCATTCAAATGATTGCTCCCCCAAGTAGCCACACTGACATTTGGCTCAACATCTGTAGACTGGGCCTAAGCATTGGAACTGTTCTCAAGGGTTCCCCCAGCTCTCCACTGCTCAATCAATCGGCTGGCTCTAGGTGACCTACCCTCACTCTACCAGACAGAGGGAAAACGCCATACAGAACCTAAGAGGAAGAAAAGCTACGAGGAAGGAAACAAGGAAAGAGTGAGGCAGAAAATACTGTCTGAAAGCGGCTGACAACCTGGAGGAACGACCTCACCAGCTGTTTCTCAGCCCAAGCAACCCACCAGCCAATCCCTGCTAGCACCGTTCAGACCAAAGCCGGCTCTCCTGCCCCGGAGCTTTCAAAACACCTACTCAAGGTTAAAAGGCATGCCAGAGAAAAGGCAGAGCTCTTTCTAACAAACTTTTTGCCTCCACCTTCGAAAAGAGCAGCCGGCAGCCAAGTCCGTTGGCTGGACAACAATGATTAGGGGAGCCTCGTGATGGAAGGGGGCGGGACCGAGAGGAAGTGAGCCCGCGCGCCCTCCCCACCTGTTGCCTCCTGGATGACTTGCTGGGGGATCCCTCTATCAGAAGCTCCAAGGAACAAGTGGCCTCCGAGGCTGAGTCGGACATGAGAGCGGATCGCGCAGAGGAAAAAAAGGAAGAGGATTTCGCAGGAACACGATGCGGCTGAAGAAGAGTCGGCAAGACAAAGGGGGCCTAGCATAGGCAAGTTGGGTGGGTAAATAAAAATAAGTGAACGTTACCTTCCAGCTGTCCCTCGGGACCAGAGAGTGTGGGGCTTCCCGCCGCAAAGCAACAATAGATGCTCCAGAAGCAGAGAAGAAAAACGGAGTTTTTCATCTTTCGCCTCTTCCCCGCCAAGTCCCCTCCCCTGAACCAGGGATTTTTTTCCCCCTCAAAAAAGCCACCACCACCTTCTGAGCTGGTACAGCTCAAAGGTGAGTTGCTGTCTCTCAGCCAGGTGCTGGTCTAGACAGCTGGAGGAGAGGTGGGAATTGAAATCTTGGCTTCCCTGATTGTGGGGCTGAGGGAAGTGAGTGTGGACCAGCTTGCCGCAAAGCGAGACCTGCCCTCGCCCTGCGCAGCTGGGAACCCAGGGCTCCTCGCTGCGAGCTCCTGGAGAGAGGTAGTTTTTAAAGTATCAGTCATCTGACCGATCGCCAGATGGCTATTTGCATAATTATTCTCGTTTCTGGACGCTGATTGGTCACACCTTCGCTGACGCTACAACCAAGTCTCCCTAAAGTTTGAATGAAAGCGCCACACACCCACCGCGTGGACTCCGGAACGCGCGGACTCGCTTGCAGCGTGCTAAGACTTCAGCTCCCCGGCTTCTCACTAATATCCTCCAACGGGTCGCAAAATCCGCCATTTGGCCCTTCCGCTCCAGGGGGGACACCTCCTGGAAACCAAGCGCCTGCTGGGACGCTATCCCCGGAGAAAGAAGTTCATTCTCTCCTGGGTGCAAACGCTATCCCCGGGCCGAGAATAGTCCCTCCTTGCCCCGGACCCAGAGTCCCGATGGAGCAGAGCCACCTGCTCATGTTGATCTTTATCTTCTTCCACTCCCGCTCAGCTAGGGCCGCTACAGGTGCAAACTGCGGGATTCGACGTTAGCCCGCAGAGCTGAAGGCACTTCAGCGTCCCATAAACCTTGCTCAGAGACCTGGTTCCACCACGAGAGGCAAAACTCCAAGTTCTCCAAGCGCCCCCCTCAGCACACACAACACATACAACACTAAAGATTAAAGTTCCTACCACTGAGGGATTTGGGGGAAAATGAGCGCTCCCGTAGCTTAGTGTGCGCCCGGCTTTCGGTGCGCGATCTCTGGCCTTGGGCGGAGGGCTGGAGGGTTGCAGGGATTTGTGGCCGGATCTCCCCGCACACTCTGTAGCCACCTGGTGAGTGGAATTGGGCACCTCCTTCCCCTTTTTCTTCATCTTGTCCCTGTTTCTCCCCTTTTCTATTTTGATCCTAGTCCCCGAGAGCATTGTAGACCATGGCACCGAGTCTGAGCCGGGCGCGGGACAGCGAGCGCTGCGCCGGGACCGCGGCCGAGCACGCTACGCTGGCGGTCCCTCCACCTCCTGCCAGCCGGTAGGGCGGCCTAGACGAGGCGGCGCCTTTGATCAAGAGTAACCCCAGGGGTTGCCAGGAACCGGTCTGGCCCCTAGCAAAGGAGAACCTCCACGGCTGCTTTTCGCCCCTTCCTCCCTGGCGGCCGCGCTGCAGCGTGACAGGTATGAGGAAACCCGGTCCAGAGCGAGATGGTCTTGTTCCCACCTCCCCTCCCCTCAGCTCCCCTCCCCTCGTTATTTTGTTACTCCAGCTGCCCTGCCCCGCGCTTTGTCGCTCTGTAGGCTATCATTCATTAACAGGAGGCAAGCCGGCTTTTTCAATTTAATGAATCTCAGTGCTTTGTATGATGTCGGTAATGTCGTCCCTAGATAGGTTAATCCCATCCGCCTCCCACTCTCCCTCTCCGTTGGCAAAGTATACAGACTCAGGACAGGTATCATCTCCACTTTATAGATGAGAGTGGAAGCCAGTGCATGTTTGAGGGAAGTCCAACTTGGACAGTGTCCTTCTCTTCTGGGTTTGATTTGGCCAATTGATCTCTAATGATGAGCGCTTTGCAACTTTGTCTCCATTTCTTTATTAGTTGAGAGGGTTAAAAATCTTGGGATCAAAAACCTTCCTTCCTTATCCCTGGGCAGCAGAGCCCAGCTACTCAGGAGGTGTGGCAGATAGATGACTTGAACAAGCTCCAGGCAGCTTGAGCAATAAGGCAACCAAAACAGCATCTGGAAAGCAAACGAACAAACATAAAATTCTTCTCGTTTTGATTTGCCCACAACCACTGTCCCAAGAACAGTAACTGAACAACATGGGTGCCTTGGACACTGTTGTCACAAGTGCAATACCCTGAGGTAGACAGATATTTCTGCAAAGTGGATTGTCCTGCCTGGGGAACAACAAAACAACAAGGTTCAACAAAATCAACACCCATCTTTAACTTCCAAGGCTACAAAGCCATTGAAGTTTCATTGCTGGTTGGTTAGAGTGCCCTCCTGTGTCGCTCTATTAAAATATCATATAAAAAATTATAAAGGCCAAAATGAAATTATAATGATAGCACTAGATTGCATAACAGCAACCATTACTCTTCATATTTTTTAGAAGAACCACAAAGAGATTTGAGCAATGTCCCATATAGAGAAATATTCCCTTGAGGAGCCTCTGTTAGAAACTTCCACTTGGTCCCAATCAAAATTGAGGGTCTCAGGCTACCACAGTGAACAGCTCTGGTCATTCTCTTTCATCAGCCTTGCATCTAAATACCCTACCCATATTACCAGCATGAATACCCCTCAGAGGATAAGAGCCTGCCCTCACTACAGAAGCTAAAAAGCAAATACCTGCCTCCACACCCTCCCCTGCAACTAGAGTTCCCAATTTAAACTCAGTTAACAGACTAAACTGGGTGTTGATGGGGTCTCTACTAGTGAATACCCACTTCACTCCATCTGTAGACACCCAACTCTGCTTCTCAGAAGCCGCAGTGGAGTGTCCACCAGACTAGTCTGCAGAGAAAATTGGGGCATTTCTGCTGGATTGTTAAGACCAAGATAAATGTCTATTTTGTATCTGTGTATTCAAAGTGGTTAGGATAGATATATAGTTACATTCTCTTAATGAATAGAGGGATTTGTTCTAATGGTGTTTGTAAATAGGACATCATGTCCGCATCTTGTACAGCAATTAACCACTAGGAAGAATGTATGCAATGTGTTGGTTATTGAAACTGTCCTACCAATTTGGTTTGAAACTGTCTCATTGCTACTTGTTTCTCAATAAAATTATGGGCAAAAAAAGAAAAAAAGAAAATTGGGGCATTGCTGCATCCCTCAGTTTATCCTCCAAGCTTGATTCTCTTGCCCTGCAGAGATTCTTGTCTTTAGCCAATGGCATCTTAATGAGTTGCTCTTTAGCATCAACCATCCAGATGTTGCTCGTATCGCTTAAAGCTAAGAAAATAACTTTCTTATCAGGTATTTATTGAGAAGCTAACTAGAGAGAAATGCAGGGTTGGCTGCTTCAAAGAATTCTGTGGAAGTCATCCTTGCTTTCCAGATACAAGTATGAAAAGATAAAAATGTCAAAAAGCTGACAAGTAAAAGTTCCCAGAGATCTAGATCCATGGTGTCCAATAGGAATAACACAAGCCACATGTCTTGGCCAGCTCAGGCTGTCATGATAAAATACCATAGATTGGATGCCTGAAAGAACAGAAATGTATTTTCTCATAGTTTTGGAGGCTACATGTCCAAGGTCAGGGTCTGAGTGTAGCAGGGTTCAAGTAAAGGGCTCTTCCTGGCTTCTCTGAGGCTGACTTCTCACAGTGACCTGATATGGGGGACAGCAAGCACGTGCTGGTTCCCCTTCCAATAAAGACATCAATCCTACTGTGGTCCCACCCTCATGACCTCATCTAAACCTACCTTCCAAAGGTCCCGCCTCTAAACATCATCACAGTGGCAATCAAAGCTTCAACATATAAACTTGGGGTGACACATTTGAGTCTACAGGGCCATATATATAATTTTATAGTTTGTATTAGCAGCAGCATAAGACAAAAAGAAACATATGAAATTAATTCTAATAATTCATTTAAACCAATAATTCAAAATATTATTTCAACTTATTGCCATTATAAAAGTTACTGATAAAATCCAGTATTTTACACTTGTTAGTTAGCACATATCAGTCTAAGTAGTCACAAGTTACTTGTATTGCTTAAAGCTAAGAAAATAACTTTCTTATCAGGTATAAGTGTGCTCTTTCTGAGCACAAGTTAAGTGCTCAGGAGCCCAGGTATCCAATGGCCACTATACTGGACAATGTAGATCTGGAGTATTGAAATGAAATCCAGTATAAAACATGGTGATGGGCACCTGTAATCCCAGTAGATAGGAAACTGAAGCAGGAGGATCACAAATTCAAGGCCAGCCTGGGCTACATAGCAAGACACTGTTTAAAAAAAAAATCAATCTGAGAAATCATTCAGCAAGCCATCTCAATTAATAGATAATTAAATGAAGACCCATCCAGATTAACTGACTGTCTCAAATTCACAGAGTTGGTGAAAAGGCAGAGACACAAATTCAGGCCTCTGATTCCAAGGTCACGTCTTTTCCCCTGGCCTCTTCCTGTGTACAGACCGAAGAGGCCAATGGAGATTAGGAAAGATTCGACTTCATAGAAGGCCTGGACTGAAGTTGCACTGTTTTAATTACTTTCTTATTTCTGGGACAAAATACTAGGTACCCACAAGTTAAAGGAGGACAGATTTATTTTGGCTCACAGTTTGTAGAGATTTTAGGCCACATTTAGCTGATTCCAAAGCAGGAGGGCCTAGAAGAAGGACATAGCAGAGGAGAACCAGCCCATGGCATGGCGGACAGAGAGTAGGATCAAGGGAGGCCAAGAGGCAGCCCCTTCCAGGCCACACCTTCTGCGAGCAGGCTTCACTTCCCAGATCATAAACTCTCTGGTCGGCTGATCTACTGATTCATATCACTGATAGGTTGTGGCCGTGGTATGAACTACTAAATTATTATGGTGGTCATCTAACACGGCTAAAGCCCTTAAAACAACAGCGAATCTTTCCAATGACCACTTTATCCTTCTCCCCTAACCCAGTCCTGGATACTTTCCTCTCGCCTTTCCTGTGCACACAGGAGACCCAATTAGCTCCTTACATGTAATTAAAACTGCCCCTCAAATTCCACCCCTACCCAAAGTCCATGAAAGTCTCCGTTTTCTTTGTTTGAGGTCAGAAGATCCTCTCCATCTTCCCTTGGATTCTTTCCGTGTCTTTAGAGTTAATAAAGGCTTCTTTTATATTTTCTATCTCTTTATCGTGCTGCCGAAAAACCCAACAATCACACCCAGGGATCCAATCACCTACCCAAACCCACACCTTTGAGCACTTGAAGCTTTGGGTACATCTAGATATAAACCGTAACAGCCATTCATTCAGAGAGAGAAAAAGTAGAAGAAGAATTAGTATAAACACAACCCCATTAAATACTGAACATTTTTCATGTTCC